ATCTCTCCTGACTGAAGATGAGAAGAAATATTTACAGCAAAAAGGCTTGAAGGAATTTTTGGAGTGATAAAATGTTTTAAAATCAGATGAAGTGATGCACAATTGTGTCAATTAACTAAATATTATTGAATTATACATCTGCAAGAAATGGATTTTATGGTATTTAAATTATACCTTAATAAATTTTCCAAATTCCAATATAATTTTAATGACATAAAGGAAAGAAGATTATGCAAATAGAAATTGCAGTAATTCCAAAGTCGATAATTTTATATGAGTATGGTTTGGTTATAATTTGTAGGGGGAAGAAGAAGGGATATGGTGTTTTTATGAGGAAATAGTGGGAAAGGGATTAATATTAGAAAATGGCATTGAGATTGTGGTGAATTGTAAAATGCTTTCCCATCCTTCCTCTTCTTAGCTCTCCTCTCCTTTTTTTCTGTTGCATCTTTCACACATTCTTGTCATACAAGAAGCCAAGGGCAGGTCAAGGGATGTCACTTTATATTTTTTAATAAAGGGGCCTAGCAGATTAACCTTTGCATTGGCATTTGAACTCCTTTATGACAAATAAGTCAATCAAGATGAGAACATTTGAGGTGATGTATGTCTGCATTATTCTTTTTTAAAGCTGCAGTTTTGCCATACTGATGATCAATTTTTTTAAGTTACTGACCTGCAAAAGTTTATGCTTCTTTAATTTTTCTTGATTTATTATTATTCAATGACTTACAGAATATTTGATATAAATGTTTTTACCTCAATAAATTATATAAAAGATGATTTAGTATCTTAGTCATGAAGTCTAAATCTTTAAATATTAGCTATCATATTCCAATTATAGAACATAATAATTATTTTGTTTCTAATAATATTCCTTCAAATTTCATTGTTAAACCTAGAAAAAGGAATTTGAAAAGCTGAAGTCTAAAATTAATAAAATGAAAATAGAAGAATATAATAGAAGAATAAAATCTAAAACTTTGTTCTCCCAAAATACCAGTAAAACAGATACAGATCATTCTTTTCAAGGTCTAATAAGGGTAACAGAGAGAGAACATACATATAAAATAAAAAGTACCTAAACATAGATAAGGAAGTGACTTTAAAAAATCGAGACTACTACATGCTGTTACAGTAATGAACCTGAAATACAGGAAAACATATGAATTTATAAAATGACCAAAACTGGCTCAAGAGGAAGTTTTTAAAAAAAGAAGACATGAGCATTATTATTAAAAAAAAGGTGTTAAACCTTTAAGAAAAATATAATTACAATGTTACTAAAACTTTTTTCCAGCTATAGAGAAAGTTCCTCATTTTATTTTGTAACATCAACATAATTTTTATAAGGAAACACATGACACTAAAAAGGCTATTATAGATTAATCTAATGAATATGTATGCAAAATTCTGATATATTTGTTTACCAAATTCTAAGTTGTGAAGCAATAAAAATATTTTTACATCAAAAGAAGTGTTAGGTAAAGACACAAAAGGTTTACTGCATAATCTATCTGAGATAAGCCCTAACCCTTTGAGTGCCAACCAATATCCTAGGAACTATGCTAAAATTGCCAAGGCATTTTTGCTGATTTCACAGCAGTTTAGGAAAAAAATTATGAATCACAAGTAAATGAAGTTACATATTCAAAAACTTAAGGAAACCTTTACTACATTTTCATCTTTGACATATATTGTTTGCTGATTGTATTATAAAATACTAGTAGAAAAAATTTGAACAAAACATAATGTAATAAAAGTAGTAAACTTCATAAAATCGTAGTACCTGTAAAAAATTAGGCAGATAAATGCCTGTGGTCAATTTTAGAACTACAAACATTCGGCATCATAAGTTATCTGCACTTGGGTGCCATCTGTCAATAAAGAGTGAACTACTAGCATCTAATAGTGACACTGCAGGAGGAGCGCGATAGCGCTCCTGGGTCTCTAGAGGCTAAAACAAAGAATGTCCATCAATGACTATTAATTTGTACTTTTGGGCTTCCAATTAAAGGAAATGTTGCATAATAATGGGATAAAATAATATTAGAAACAATTAATATAAAATTAGAGTTATTCTATCCATGTGATGGATCTTAAATATCCTTTCTCTAGCCCTCATGGACTCTGGCACTGAAAACTAATGGAAAATAGGAAATATCTCTGACCATAATGTTGATTTGTCCGTACTCAGCTAAGAGTAAGCATGATTAGACAAAAATGTCTCTGACCCACCCTAACTGCTTCTTTGTGGAACTATTTCTTCCTTTAAAAACCCAGAATCTACTTTATCCTCATTTTCCCTATCAAACCTAGAACTCATATATTACCACACAATTTTACATCAAGTGGAAGTACAGTAACCATAACCTGGCTATTTATCCAAGCTATTTGCATTTTAATCTTTTGTATCTTCAACATCTTTTTAGTGGTGTGGAATAAACAAACGTATCTATTGCTACAAAAGAGTTTTAAATGTCAGGAAATCAGTAGGCAGGGATTGCCTGAGGGAAGCTTCTAATTTTTTTCCTTAAAAAGAAAATCTCCAAATTGCAATCTCCAATTAAGTTCAAACTTGTAGTTACAACTTCTTTAGGTCTTTTTATGTGGTTTAGTGTTTTCATAAAGGAATAGGAGGGAAGGCAATAAAAATGAAGATTGATTTTAATCCCCCCCACTACTTCTCTAAGGAGGGGAAACTAGCTAAACCTGATTGGAACATAAAGGCCTTTTTTACAGTAAAGACTAAGAGAAAAGCTACAGCCTTAAATCTGATCTTTGGTCTAACTATTGCCCATGTGATAGGCATTGGGAAGAAAAACATAAGATACTGACACAGCACTGGTGGAATTTGTAGTCTAGTGAGAGAGATATGCATTTAAGCAGAAGTGATAGTTGTTCCCAAAGAGGGGACAACATACCGAAAACACTATGATAAAACAAAAGAAGGTGCTTAGGGAGATGTTGGGAGTTGCAGAAAGGGGAGGTTTCCTGGAGGAGAATATGGTTGAGTTGAACCTTGAAGGAAAGGGAAGGCAAAGGTGAGCTGGTAGAGAGCATGCACTACAATATGGCCAACATCCAAGGAGGAAATCTAACAGCATCTGACTGCTTAGAGTCTGGGTCTGGCTCCTTTTTGCCTCGTATTGCTTACTGGTAAATATACAGGGTCCTTCCTTTAAAAGGATGTGGCTCTGCACTGTGTGGTTTTGATCCATTAGTATACAATTCAGTCCAGGGTGGGATGGTGGCATGTGTGTGCGGGTGTCTGTTCATGTAAAGATGCCTTCTGCTCTAGACAGTGTGTGCTTTCAAAGGGATTTGGAAATAGTCCAGTCTTTTCTGCTGACTCTGGTGTCTGCAAAGGGAATTAGGAAAGGCTGTGGTGTCCCTGCTTGATTTTATCTTAATCTTCACATGGACCCTTTTATTACTTAATGTTCTTTAGGAATGGGCCAGAAAGGATGCTGAGTGTGGGGGTATTTTTTATTCTCTCTCTCTTTTTTGACAGCTTATATGTAAAATACACTTACAAACAACAGGTTTTAATCATTTTGAAGCAGTGACCTTGAAAATAAACTGTGCTTTTAAATTAGATACACTACTACTAAGAGGGACCTAATATTTACAATTGAATATATGAATGTAAAACATGTACATAATGTACATAAACATGAACTTGATTTGCAGGTGTAGAGCTGCAAGAGAGTTCTATAGGGATACGTTTTATGTTTTAAATATCAGTTAAATATAAAACTTGATTCTAGGGATTTTTAAAAAAACATACACTCACCAAAATCAGTCAATAAATCATTGCAACTAGTATCTGACCCCCCCCCCCAAATTTTATTTCAAATAGACTTATGGTGATGTTCACAAGCATTTTACCTACAGAGAATAATGGTAATTTACTAAAATTTTTCTAAAATTACAGGTAAATGGTTGCACCTGGTTGTCTTTTTTCCCCCCAAAGTTGGGGTGGGTTGGTATATCCTTATGAGAATGTTTCTCATTTAAAAATATCTGCATGTATCTAAAGGATAGATTGTGGACTTTAGTAACATAATGAGTTCTTTAGGGTTTACTTCATATAATCTTTTCTTTTCCCTTCTGTACTTTGCATAGTTAACACTCCACATGCTAATATTAACACTAATGCCTTAGGCCTAAATAGCAATAATTACTGGATGACACACTGGCTTCTATTTAAGTTGACAACTCAATAACTTGACATATGCATTACATCTCTATTACACTGGAATCTAAATGGCACTTTATGAAGCATTCCTTTTATATTTAGTTCACTGACAGATCAGACTCGAGCTGGGGCTCATCATATGTCTTCTAAAGACTAGTGAATGTGTCATTATTTCTAAGACCTTGCCAGTGGTAAGATAATAGAATCATCAAAAACTAAGGTTACAGATAAATGTTGAGGTTTTGATAATATGTTTCTTGGACAAATAAGATTCAAAGATGATTTTATAGTTTTATAATATGTAGTATAAAAGTTCTAAGTAGAAAATGTCATACTTACGAAATTCAACCTGGGATATAAGGTATATCCACTTATATTTTTCTCTTCAAATATGTTCAATATACAGATATACTAGTACTTTAGAAAATACTTTTATGTTTTAAGAATTTTTGCTAAGGCAGAATTTCATTTATAAGAATGTAGAGTTTAATAATTATAAAATATCTTTGTTCTTGTTACCTAAACCTCACATAGTTTGAAATGTTTCAATCTATTCTACAATACAACATGGAGTTTAAAATATGAACATTGTGGAAAATACCACTTTTTTCTTTGGTAGTCATCTGTTAAACATTTACCAACACAATATCACTGCCCATACACACTACATGACTTTATGGGGATTGGAGATGCAGGATGCAGGTATAACAGAGCCCCTTCTCAAGAACACATCAATGTCTAAGCTCCTCTCCTCTCCTCTCCTCTCCTCTCTTCTCCTCTCCTCTCCCCTCCAATCCTCTCCCCTCTTCTTTCTATCTTTAATTCTTTCTTCACCTCACCTCTCCTCTTTCTCCTCCAAAAGACTTAGGCAGAGATAGTAGTGATGGCAGGCATAGGGTTTATGTGGAATGAGGCAGAGAGTATGGCCAGAGGGTGGCCAGTAATAGGTGGTGAGAACAGTCTTATAGATAAGAGTAGCCACACATAGGGGACTTATCAAAGAAGTAAATATATTAAAGACAATGAAATTAAGTTTCTCACTGACAGGAAATGAAGGTACAAATATTGGAAGACTTTAGCATTGCAACACTGCATGAATAATGAACACACCCAGTGTTCATTTAACTTCTCAACTTTTAAATACCACTCTCAACTAAAAAAAGATCAAAGACTGAAAGAGAAATAACTGAATTCAGGGCTGGAACAAAAAAACGAGTACAATATGTCCTAGAAATAAATACCTTGTTGGTAAAGTGGGGAAGAACTCAAAGAAAAATGGGAATATTATAAAAGTATCCAGAAGTCAGTTCTAAAGGGTTTCCACTGGCCAAATAATCTACAAAAATGACAGTCCTGAAATCTAGAAAACTGTGAAGGTCATGAAATCAAAGATTGAGAATGTTCCTGAATGAAGCTGACTAGAAAGATATGAAAATTGGGTACATGTATAATCCTGGCTTCAATGCTTTTATTGTAAAGGACATAATTGAAATGAAACTTTAAAAGGTTCTGTGGATTTATGGTACACAGGTGTTCTTTGCGTTATTCTTGCTACTTTTCAGTAAGTTTGAAATTATTTCCAAAAAAATCAATATTTTAAAAATAAAAAGTTGTTTTGAATTTCTTTATAAATACTCTTTAAAATAACTTTACTAAATTGTAATTGATATACAGAGAAGCTGCACACATTTTATCTATACAATTTGATGAGTTTGGACCTACACATACACACATGAAACCATTACCACACTCAAGATAGTAGACAAATCCATCACCTCCAAAAGTTTCCTCCTGCTCTCGTGTGTGTGTGTGTGTGTGTGTGTGTGTGTGTGTGTGTGTAATACTTTACATGAGATCTATCCATTTAACACGTTTTTAAGTAAACACCACAATATTGTTAAATATAAATGCACTTTTTGGAGAAATGCTTTTCTTTTTGTTCTTATTCTATTTTGTTTGTGTGGCATGAAACGTAGGTTTTGACTAATTTCCCGCATATGCTCACATAGACCCCTCCCAGGAGTTACTAATACTGATGTAAGATCAGCCACTATGGGAGGAGTGCTTTTGAACTTCCCTTTTATTTCCTTTGACCTGGACACCTGCATCCGGGATGGTATCTCCCTACGTTCGTCATGACAGTGAGACAGGAAATGGCAATCTTATCAAACTTCCTGGAAATCCTTTTTTCCCAAGGAAAACAAGGACACACTCCGCTTAAGTGATGGTCCCCTTCACAGTGCCTCCCACCGTGTCCTCCGACTGTGAATTTGATACCCTGAAGGGATGGTAGTTTGTGGCAGAAGCCAACACTGTATCCATATTTATTAACTGCCCTTCAGAGTAGCAATTCCCCTTGAGATTGTGCCCTCACAGACAGCACAACATAATGTCCAATGCTTCACATGAGACATGTCATTAACTGCAGAACTATTTATCATGTGGTCCACCTCATTGTGTTCTATTTTTTTTTGTGCTGATGCCAAATGAACACAGAATTTCCCAGAAGCAAATAAATGGAACACCGCAAAGAATGAGTGCAGAAGGCAGTTCACGTACCTCATAAAAAGGAAGGAAGAAGCAGGGTGAGGTCCAGGGGAAATCAGGGCTGACGGGCACAGTGGGGTGAAATGTTGCAGGAGGACTGACGGGCATTTGGAAATGTCTGTGAATCAATCACCACAGTTGTAAGTTCTGACAGTCTGAAATTGACCAGTAAAACAGTCAAAGAATAGTTTGAAAATTATCAAAATGAATCTTGATGACAGATGTCAAAAAAGTATCTGTTTTGCCCTAATTGGTTTGGCTCAGTGGATAGAGTGTTGGCCTGCGGACTGAAAGGTCCCAGGTTCGATTCCGGTCAAGGGCATGTACCTTGGTTGCGGGCACATCCCCAGTAGGGGGTGTGCAGGAGGTAGCTGATTGATGTTTCTCTCTCATCGATGTTTCTAATTATCTCTCCCTTCCTCTCTGTAAAAAATCAATAAAATATATATATTTTTTTAAAAAGAGTATCTGTTTCCTCTAAATCTTTGTAAGAATATATTTAATTATTTTAAATTCATATTGATTCCATATATATTTATTTGATTACCTGCTATTCCCCAAACACTATTGGAGATAATGGGGGGCAGGGGTAAACAAGGATGTTGATGGTAAAATCTCTGACATCAGAAAGCTGAAAGTCTCAGAGATGACCCTGCTCTAGTTCAGAACAGAATATGGTATATTCTGTTGGGTTTTGGCCAATGTGCCTTAGAGTCTAATGTCTCAAGAGGATAATGCAGAAAGCCATTGTAAAACTTGATCAAATCTGTACATGTTTGCAGAAAAAAACAACAACCAGGGAATTTAAAAGTTTGCATGGGGATTACAGACAATCCACATTTTTAGGGATGATAACTCCTGTCTCTTTTTATATATGGTAGGCTGTGCAGGATTATCAAGGGTCAAGAATCACAATCTGAGTGTCCCTGAGAAGTGTGAAAGCAACTGTGGAATCATGATTTTTAAGGAGAAAGTAGAGAGAAACAATACAAGGAGGAGGGGGTTGGCAGAATCATGGAGAAAATAAACCTGACATACTTCAATATTTGCCTAAGGCCAATGTAGATGCTTCAACTGTCAGAGTAAAACATGGGGAAGTAATGAAGAGAACACAGACCTCACATCCCTCGCTCACACACGGCCTCCACACCTAGGGATTCATTAAGTAAATTCCATATTCTATCTGGTAAACAGTTTCTTTCCCTCTCTATGTTTTGTTGTTGTTTGTGTCATGTGCTCTGTACTAAGTACTGTGAGTATG